CACCCCCAATCCATTCACCCCCACCCGCCTCCCCCTATTTCCTGTAGGCCCTCCTGTTTCTCTCGAACCCCACCCCAAAATTACTGTTCAGGGTACCTCCTTCTCAAGCTTCCCCACCCACCATGTGAACACCCCTTGGATTTTCCACCCCCCCCACGCTTTCTCAGCACCCCCATATTCCATCGAAGAGCTTCCTTCCATGGTCCCTTTGAACATTGCCTTCTTCCCCACCCCCACCTTCCCCTGTATCCCCCAGCCAGACACCTCCCTGATGCCACCCCATTGGCTCCCCTTGTACGAGGTCCCTGCAGCCCCACAGACAGCTGGGCACTAACTTTAGTCCTTGGCATCCGTGCGCCAACTCCGGTTACACTCGGGCAGCTGTGGGCACAGGGGCCCTGTCTGCTCTTTCAGATGCGGCCCAGTTTCAGGAGGACCCAGCGTCATCGGTGTCCCTGCCCCTGGCACCTAGCATCCATGGCCGCCCACCCTCTCACCCATAGCCCCTGGCCAAGTGGTGCCACCTCCACCCCAGAGATGCTGCCAAGATGCCTGAGAGCGCCTGGAAGTTTGTCTTCTACCTGGGCGCCTGGAGCTACAGCGCCTACCTGCTCCTTGGCACCGACTACCCCTTCTTCCATGACCCACCCTCAGTCTTCTACGGTAGGCGACCTGCTGGGTGAGGCTGGTCTGGAGGAGCCCCGCTTTTATTGTCCCAGGTGGGGGGTGGGAGCAGCACATTGATGGAGGGGGTAAGAAGAGAGGTGACCAAGGTCACGTTGCATTTTAATTGGGGGGCGATTAAGGGAGGGCAGGGTACGAGGAGGGAGGGGGGCTAAGGCTGCATCGCCATGTCCGTGACAGGGGCTTACAGGCTTCTTATTCTTCCAAGAAAGCCCGACGGTGGGTCAGGAATGCCCAGGGCTGGTATTTCAAGGTGGCATAGCCCTGCCATGTGTTTGAATGGCCTTGAGGCCCAGATGGCTCTTTGGATTGGGATGGGTGGAGAACCTGCCCCGTGGGGTGGTCCCAGGCCAGCTCAGTTCTGTGTGACACTGCATCCCAGGCCTCTGGAGGGGTGGCATGCGGTTGTCCCTCAGTTTCCCTTTGTATGGATAAACCACGGCAGAGCCCTCCTAGTCCCTGGTACAGAGCTGCCT